CCTCCTTCTCCAGCAGAGCACCTGGTGGATTTGAACCAAGCACCTCTGGGATTGCAGTTCAGCTTCTTGTCTCTAGGCCATCAGAGCTTCCTCTAGATTCTTTTTTTAAAAAATTGAGTCATTTAAAGCATCATATCTTACGGGAGGGAGTGGGCACGGAGAAAAGTGCAATAATGAATGACTGGAAACCCTAAGTCTCTGTAAACTTTCATTATAATTTAAAAAAAGAATGGAAATCTCACACACACACACACACACACACACACACACACCCCATCATATCTTTCTAGAAACACAGACAATACAAAAGCAAAGATAAGAATTAAATATAGTAATTTCTGGGGAGTAGGGATCAGAAATGCAAAGAACAGGCTGGTGCCTATTTGTTTTTTGTAAGATTTGACTTTTTAAACTATGATTATGTGTAATTGCTAAAATTTAAAATAAAGTACCTGACCTAATTTCTTCAATACATAAGTCCTTAATAAAGATTATCTTATTCCCTGCACCACCTTACTGTTGCTGTCCCATTTCTTATTTTCAGAAATGTACTTGATCCCTTTCCCATGATTTTGTTTTCATTTGCCCTAACAAAGTATGACAGGGGAAAAAATGAGTTTAGATGGATATTTTATTATTTAATTGATCAATCAATTTTGTTTGCATAACTACCTAAAAGCGGAATTTTATTCTCTTTCCATGTGAATACTGAAATGGTGACAAAGGTAATCAGAGTAAGAGAACTAAACTAGCATATCTCATTTTCTTTAACAAATAAAATATACACACTAGAATGTGTAATGGGTTAGCTACTAAAAAATTCAAATGAGATTTTGAAGACTATAGGAACAATCACAGTGCAACAGAGATGAGCTGACATGTTATTAACCTGTTTAAGCATTCTTGGTGCTTCACTGCTTGGCCACTAGCTGAATCTTGACATGGTGGAAGACGTTAGATCTAGGACAGCATCAAATTGACTTAGAACCATGCACATGAACCAAAATGCAGGCAAACACTAAACACTGCTGAGAGCATCCACCCCAGGAAGGACTTTACCTGTTTATGAAAGAGTACAATACAGAGAAAAATCATTACTATATGGCTCAACAAACAAGATCTGCCACTTTCCATCTTCCAAATAGCCTAATTTTCTTTAGAGTATATGACCAGGAGTTAATAAACTTTTGCCTTTTGGACATAATGTCTATTCTATTGAAGTTTTTTCTAGAGAATATATCTGCCTCTTTGAGAGTAAGTTTTTCTATTTGTCTATCCTCATGTCAAATAGATGAAAAAAGCTTTTTTAACATACCTTATTTTTTTATATTTAATTAATAGTGATTGATAATGACAAATCAGGGAGCTCTGGTGGCATAGTTCACAGGGAATTGCACTGCTAACTGAAATGCCACATATGTTCTGGCAGTTCCAATCCATTACCTGCTCCAAGGGAAAATGACAGGCAATCTTCTTCCATGCCCCAAAAAGAGCTAAGTCAGTTCCAACTCAAAATGGCAATGAGTCTGGATGAGAATCACAATACTACCAACCTGATTTTCTCAATTCCTATGTACCCATGTCTCACTTCATAGCGTATCCTTATGTTAACAAACAAGAAAAAAAGAAAACTCACCTTCCAGAAGCTCCAGGCTAGCACCACCACCAGTGCTCACATGACTAACTTTATCCTCCGTGTTCCATTTGGCACAGCAAGTGGCAGTGTCTCCACCACCTATTCAGTGAAAGCCAGGTAAAAGGGCAAAAGGAGGAAAGAGCAAAATAATTGCCATGAAAACTATGAGGTAGTGGACTCTCAAGCTCAAAAACATAGCTTATAGAACACTGAACTCCATCTCATCAAGAGGTATCTATTTCCATTATATACTTAGGTAACTCTCAAGATTTACACAGGGCCATGAAACCCAGGAAAAGTTAACCACTGCCCTTCTACCTTTCTCTGATCAGATTTCTGCCATGTAAAAGACCCCTTACCTATAATGGTGATGCAGCCCCTAGAAGTGGCTTTTACAACCTCATCCATGAGAGCTTTGGTTCCCTGGGCAAAAGCTTCCCATTCAAATACTCCCACAGGTCCATTCCACACAATCTGCTTAGCACGAGCAACAGCTTCAGCATACTTTTTGCTACTCTCAGAACCACAGTCCAAGCCCTAAGGAGTAGAATGAAAATAAGAGTTACCATGCTGATTAGAAGACTACCACATCTCCCAAGATCAGAAGGCTAAATCAGTTTCTTCTAAAATAAAAACTCTTCTGCTGTAAATTACAAAGCTGAGCAGGTCCTTAGACAAAAAAAAAAAAAAAAAAAAAAAAAAAGTCCAAGGCAAAAACCTCAAAAGTTATTTGATAAAGACATTTTTCTTATTGTCAGTTGCTGTCAAGAAGCCTTTAACTCATGGCAACCCCATGTACAATGTAAACAAAATCCAGCCCAATCATGAACTATTTTCACAATCAATATTCTCAAGTTCATTACTGCAGCCACTGTGTAATTTGAGTGCCTTCCAATCTAAGGAATTCAACTTTGAGCAGTATATTACATAATATTCTATTAGGATTCAAAGAGATTTTATTGGCAAATTTTCAGAACAAGATTATCAGGTCTTCCACTTCAGTGAAACTTGTCCACCATGGGTTTTAAATACTCTGTTGGTATCTGAAATACCAATGGCAAAGCTTTTAGCATCACGTGCCCTTGAGTAAAGCACGACCCACAGCAAATCTATGAACAAAAGAGCTGAATCTTGTTCTAGTCTGTGGCATTCTCATACTTCTTGACACACTAGAGCCCACTGTGGTAAGTCACTGTGTCAATCCACCTGGTTCAGGGTCTTCCTCTCCTTTGCCAATCCTCTGCCTTTCCAAGCATCATGTCTGTATCCAAGGAACAGCTTCTCCTAGCAACATGTCCAAAGTATGTGAGGCAAAGCTTTATCATCTTTGCCTCCAAAGAGCACTCTGGCTGCACTTTCTTCAAGACATATTTGTTTCTTCTTTCTGGCAGTCCATGGGACATTCAGTACTCTTCTCCAACACCACAGTTAAAAGGCAACAATTCTTCTGTTACCCTTATTCATTAGCATCATAGAAACTAATAAACTAACAGACTATAAATTGGCAGGTGATGGAAAATATTCCAAGACAAATTATTTATGATTATAAAGAACTATTTTCAACAAGGGTCAATTCTTTCTCTCCCCAAGGTACAAGTAGCAACATCTGGAGGCATTTTTTGGTTTATCTGGAAACATCAAGCACGATACAGTAATACAATATTGCTGTTGGTTCCTACATATAGTGGCATTATGTAGGAAAAAAGTCTACTGCTGTGAAATGTTCACAACTGCTGCTACATTATTGTAGCCAATGTGTCAACTCATATTGATGGTCATTTCTTTTTGAGTTTGTTTGTTTTTTTTAACTGATCCTCTATTTTATCAAGCATGGTGATATACATAATAGTCCTCCACAAAGAAAAACTATCTGGCCCAAGATGTCAACAGTACTGACAAATTAGATCAATGGTTTCTAAATTTTGGAATGCATCAGAATCACATGGTTGTTGTTGTTGTTATGTGCCATAGAGTTAACTACAACTCAGTGACTCCATGAACAACATATTGATACCTTGCCCTATCCTGTGCCATTATCATAATCCAACAACCTCAAACACATTGTTACAGTCACTGTCTCAATACATTTTGCTGAAAGTCTTTTTCTCCTTAAGCTTCATCAACCTTGCCTCTAATAAGCATCCTGATTACACTTCTTCCAAAACAGAATTGCTTATTCTTTTGGCATTGCATGGGATATTCAGTATTCCTCTCCAACACCACAGTTCAAAGGTAGTGATTCTTATTCAAGATCTAACTTTCAGATACCTAGGAAGCAAATGAAAATATAATGGCTTGGGTCAGGTACATCCTTTAAACTGACATCCTTGCTAAAGAGCACTTTGGAGAGATCCCTGACAGCAGATTTTTCCCCAATATAACACATCTTCATTTCTTAACTGCTGCTACCATGGTTGCTGATTGTGGATCCAAGTAAAATAAAATAACTGACAACCTCAATCTTTTCTCTATCATGATGTTGCCTGTTAGTCTAGTGGTAAAGATTTGTATTTTCTTTAGGGAGAAAATATTGAAATTGTCAACAATTTGTCTATCAGTTCAACAAAAAACAGTGACTTATGTGATATGGTAAAGCTGTAAATTATACTATCAGTGTTTCAAATACCAGCAGGGTCACACATGCTGAAAAGGTTTCAGTGGATCTGAAACCTGTTCAAGATTCAGCATCTTATTACTCCATGTGTCCTGCAGCACAAACTCTGGCATATTTCTCTGAAAAAAGAGCACACTAAGAAGAATGAGGAGGAGGCTGCAGAGTATGCTAAGCTTTTGGCCAAGAGAAGGAAGGAGGCCAAACAAAAACGCCATGAGGAGATCACCAAGAGACAGAAGCTGTCTTCTCTGAGAGCTTCTATTTGCAAATCCAAATCCAGTAAAAAAATAGATTTTCTAAGTGACAAATAAATAAGTTCACATATTAAATCTAAAAATACATAAATAAAATACATTCACCAAACACTAAAAGCCAAAGATGAAGAATCTGAGGATTTCTAATGACTTATGTAGTCTGAAATTGATAAATTATTCAATCAAGATACATTAATAATAACAACTAGTAGCTGGAATACAAAGATTGGAAAGAAAATAGATCATTAAATGGAAAATATGGCCAGAGATCACATGATATCATTTTGAACAATGATTTATTCACTGCAAATGACTTTTTAAAGTGACTATCCTTATGAACTTGCCAAATAGAAAACCCAGGAATCAAATTGACTACTTCTGTGGAAAGATAATGGAAAAATTACAATATCAGCAGTCAGAGTAAGGTCAACTGTGCAAAAGACTATAAACTGCTCATATAGAAGTTCAAAATGAAGTTGAAGACTGCTAGGGCTGCAGAGCTGCTCTCCCTTCCTTTCCCAAAATAGTCACTGAAATGTTCCAACCAAAGGAAGCAGCACCTAGGATGTGCTGGGTCACCCTAATTCCTTTTCACTCCTCTATGGGCTTGATCTGCCTCCTGACTGCCCTTCTCTGAATTTCTGAGAGGACATCCTTCTCCAGGGTTTACTGCCTCCTGCCATTGCTGGCTTTCCAAACAACACAAGACCAATTCTGGGTAAGTGGAAGCAGTTCTCCTCTCTCGGGTCTCCTGCTTTCTTTGTACTCTAAAAGTACTAGCACTAAGCCAGATAGATCCCTCAGACAAGTGGCCAGTCTCTCTCAATGCTGGGGATGCCCACATCATGAGACCTTCTCATGAGAACAAAAGGAAATTAAGGAACACCTTTTTCCCTTCAGTCCCTCTCTCTTGGAATCCCCACTACTTATCTCTCTCCCCAGTCATGGGAGCCAGCCAATCCTTCCCATCTCGAAGCACTCCACTGGGGTGTCTCCTCCACTCCCTTGATACTCAAGAACACAGCATAGCCACAATAGCAATTAAATAGGTCTCAAGAGCCCAAAATGTGACACTCAAGTTAAACACCCTCAGAGACTTTGACAATTTCTACCAACACAATGGCAAAAGGTCAGAAATCCCCTATGTTCAGGCCTTCTTTGCTTTCCATACTATGTCCTTCTCTGTCAAAACTGCTGTACTTATCAAATTATTTTAGCTCCAAGCCTTCTCCCCTTTCTAATCAAAACTCCCTAACCTTTGATCCCTCTGATCTCTCAGTACCCCCTATTGCTCTTGCTTCCCCACCTCTGCCATACGCAAATGTAGCCTCACCAGGAGGCCCTCTCCACCTCAGACTCAAAGTCCCCCTCCCTTTTTCCTCCTCTCTAGCTTCTCCCAGATTCAGACAGAAACAGCAGCCAAACTTTTTCACTCTCTGCTTTTCTCTCTCCCCTCCCTCATTCTGTTCTGCCTTTTAGCTTAAAAAAGAAAAATCTTCTGCAACTAAAATATCTCTCTTCCTTTTCCAACCCTGATCTATAAAGAAAACATCACCTCACTTCGTTCTCTGATCCCAATCCAGCACATCATCAAAGTGTTTCAACCAACAGACATAGTTAGATATACACAGATGTCTATTCTCAAACCAGGCAATCTAACAAAATGCAGAAATTATCAAACATTATCATTAATGCCACACATAAGTAAATCAAGCTAAAGATTATTAAAAAATGGTCAGAAGAGTACTGCAACAAGGAACTTCTAGAAATTAAAGGTGGATTCAGAAGAGACCATAGAATGAGGTATATCATTGCTGATGTCAGATTGATATTGGTTGAAATATCAGAGAGATGTTTACTTGTGTTATACTGACTATGCAGACGCTTTCAGCTGTGTGGATCATAAATTATGGTCAACATTGAGAAGAGTGGGAATACCAGAATATCTAACTGTATTCATTCAGAATCTGTGCATGTACCAAGAAGCAGTTGCTCAAACAGAACAAGGGAGATTACTACATAGTTTAAAATCAGAAGAGTGCATCAGTATTGTCTCCTTTCACTATCGCTATCAATCTGCATGTTGTTATTATGTGTCATCAAGTCAGAACCGACTGCTAGCTGATCTCCAGCAGGTTTTCAGAGACAATAAATCACCCAGGAGGAGACTGTCTATCCTTTTCCCACAGAGCAGCTAGTGGATTCAAACTGTGTACCTTTGGGATTGCAATGCAGCTTCTTACCACTAGGCCACCAGAACTATATGAAGAAGTTGGCATCAGAACTGAAGGAAGACTCATCAACAAGTTACATTACGCAGGTAACACAAATCTTGCTTGCATAAAGTGAAGAGTAATTGAAGACTACCTTTCACCTCACCATCAAGAAAACAAAAATCTTTACAATTGGACCAACAGGCAACATTAAGATAGAGAAAAGTCAATGTTTTTATTTTAGTTGGATTTACAATGAGAACCTATGGAAGCAGCAGACAAAAAATTAAAAAAATGTACTGCATCAGACAGGCAAATTTATTGTCAAGGACCTAAAGTGTTAAAGAACAAGAATGTTTGTTTAAAGATTAAGGTGCACCTGACCCAAGTGATGGTATTTTTGGTTGCTTCACATATATGCATGTGATAATTAGAGAATAAAATTGAAAGATCAAAGAAGAACTAATGCCTTTGAACTGTGATGTTATAGAAATTTGCCCTCATTTTGAAATTATCTTCATCACAACCACCTTCAATGCTGCTGATCCCAATTCAGTGATCCTATAGGACAGAGTGGAAAAACTAGCTACCCCATTAAGTTTTGAAAACTACAAATCTTAATGGGAAAGTAGCCAGCGGGTTCATACTGTCATCCTGTCAGCAGCCTTACACTTAACCTGCTATGCCACCAAGGCTTTTTTTCTTGCACTAAAAAAGTAGACTAAATAAGAATCATATGTATCTGAACTTACTCAAATTCTGACAGGCACAGGAGCCGATTGTATTATAAACTAGAGAATGCTTGTAATTATATTAGACTTTTAATATACACATATATATTTTTTCCTGGCTTATGATCAGTATACTTATACCACTACCGTGTTTTCATTTGACTCTACCAGCTGCTTTATAAGAAGAAGATAGACAATCTTCCACATAATTTACAGCATCAAAAACCCAAAGGAGGATCAACTTTGAAATCAGTTCCAATTTAATGGTAATGAACAAATGAATGAAATTTATGGGTACTAACAGCCACATCATCTTTCTCTCTCAAAGTAGTTGGTAGGTTCAAATCAGTAACTTCTTGATTAGCAGCCAAGGGTTCAACCACTATACCACCAAAGCTCCTTATACATGTTTCTGGGCAGTAACATAATCCACAATAGCCCAAGTCATGAAAGTACTTAGCACAATACTTAGCACAGTAACGGATGAAAAACAAAATTTGGTTTTGTTCTCCTGGTCCACATTACTGATAAAGATAGTAATCTATTGAATTTCCACATGAATGTCCAAAATCAATGGCCTCACTTTTGGAGCCCTCTCTGACAAAAATTACCAGTCTGGACTGTTGTTAAAAAAAAAATTATTGGTTAGATTAATGACGGAAAGATAATCAGAAACTTTCTGCTCACTTATACTATGAATTACCCAAAGTCACTCACCATCCAGCCAGCAGGTATACCAGAGGATACAGTGGCTTGACCAGTTTTGGCATTCTCATCAAACTTGTCAGCAGTGACAAAATCAACAGGCAAGGTAATCTTTACACCATTTTTCTCAGCTTTGGACATCAGATCTTTGACAATCTTGGCTCCCTCTTCATCAAACAGAGAAGTGCCAATCTATACAAAAGGTCAAGATAATGATTAGCTTATAAATTAAGAATTATCTCAAAAAGTGGGCAGGAACTAGACACAAGACAAGATAAAAAGAATATGGGGGGAGGGGTGGGCAAGGAGAAAAGTACAATAATGAATGAATGGAAATCCAAAGTCTGTAAATTTTCATTAAAATAAGGAAGGGAGGGAGGAAGGAAGGAAGGAAGGAGAGTGTTAGGGACTTTTACCAGCAGCTGGTTCTCTTTTTATACTTGAGTAACTTACTATTTATCATGGAGTACTATTTGACATCCACTTGCCAGTTTTCCTACCTCCATATTATTGAGCACTTTAAGGAAGGTAAAAGCCATTCCCCCACCAATAATCATCTCGTTGACTTTGTCCAGCATATTATTGATCAGTTGGATCTTGTCTGCAACTTTAGCTCTAGAAGAGAAATTGGGAATCATCACTAAAAGAACAATTCCATAGAGAATTCATATTAAACCTGGACTATTTCTGTCAATGTACATGTACAGAAAAAAGCATCCCACACTAAATGCCAAAATTATTTGCTGACAGTGCTGTTTCTCCAAACTAAAAGACCAACATTTCTAACCAAGAAGGGCTTAAAAGAGTTACTCTTTTAAATCAAGAAATCAAGTATTCAAATAGATCTATTTCATGACTTTCTGAAAGAAAAAAAAAAGGGGGGGCCAAAATTGCTCCTTGTGTTCAAGATCCCTTAACCCACTCAATACTGTCCTAACCTTAGAATCCTGATCAGACTTTACACTAAATAAATATATATTGAGCTAGAATAGTCAAGATATTCCTAGTCTAAATTCACACCCTTAGGAGTAATCTTAGTTATTGGTATATTACATTTATTATTCTTCTTTTGGAACACTAAATCTTGAGCATCTCAGTGGTCAAAATAAAGCTCTTTTGGAATTTATAGTCTAGTAAAAGGAAATAAAGACAATATATACAGATGCACTATTCAGATTTCTAAGAGAAAAATATTTTTTAAAATATTGAAAATTAAGCAAATTTACTTGACATATAATCTTTAAAGGGAGCTCTGGTGGTGTAATCTGTAGGGTTATGTGCTGCTAACCTGTCTGGCAGTTCAAATGGCTCTGAAAGTGATAAATAGGCCATCTGCTCCTGGGCAATTTACAGTCTCAGAAAATTCACTGGAGGGTCAGCTATAAGGCAGTCTTGACTCAATGGCAATGAGTTTTTTTATATAATCTTTAATGTCTGTTCCCTCCCTATTGATAATAGCTTGCCTCCCATATACATTCCTACATATCTAAATCAAACTTAGGTCACTTCAGGTCTCAGTTTCTCTTCTCATTCAATAAACAATAAATTGTCTGTGAGAGGTCCTATGCTAGGATTTGTGAAATGGAAATATGAAATAATAGTGATTTGGGGAAAATGGATGATAAGAGATTGCTTATTGTACTTCTAAAGAGTTACTGTCAAAGATTAAGAATTGATAAATGGATATTTTGTAATTACATACAAACATCACATAAAATAAAGAGAAGATGCCATACACACACACACACATACACACACCCAGGATGGTAGCATGTGGGGGGATGGGGAGTGAAGGAATTAAGATAGAACCAAGAGGAACTTGGGGAATCTGAAAAGACAGGGTAATAGTAGGGAGAGATCAATGGTAACTAATGTTATAAAACACAATACATATAAAAATGATTGTACGAAACACAATGTGATTAAAGGAATGTGTGAGACAACATACACGAATGAAACACAATAAAGTTTTTGTATGCAAACCATTAAAGAAAAAAAGGGAGGAAAAAATTACTCAATCTCTTCTACATAATGTGGAATATTCTACAGTTCACAAAATCAATAGAATAAAAAATTATAATGGGGACTATTACAGAAATAAAGATACCCAACAACCAAACTCAGGCCTTGGTTTCATAGTGCATTACATATTGGGATGCTAAAGAAATAGTCATTAATTCAAATTCCCCAAGCAGACCACAGGAGAAAGACAAAGTCTCCTCTTATAAAAATTTAAAACCTTAAAAACCAACAGAGGGTCATCATGTTGTTGTTATTGTTAAGTACAACTCTTGCGACTCTATTAACAAAAGATCTGAACTGTTCTATCCTGTGCCATCCTCACATGGTAGAGGGTCATCCTCTCCATCATCTACCCTCCATCATTCCTAACATCCTGTCCTTTTCCAAGGAATAGCCCCTCCTAGCAACATGCCCGAAGTATGTGAGGTAAAGCCTCATCATTCTTGCCTCCAAAGAGAACTCCAGCTGTACTCTCTCCAAGACATATTCATTTGTTCTTTTGGCAGTCCTTGGGATGTTCAGTGCTCTTCTACAACACCACAAATCAAAGCCATCAATTCTTCTGTCATCCTTATTCATTGTCCAGCTCTCAGATGTATAGCAAGTGACTGGAAAGACTATGGCCTAAATCAGACACACCTTAGTCCTCAACAATTTGGAGAGTTCCCAAATTGCAGACTTTCCCAGAGCAATATGTCTCCTTATTTCCTGACTGCTGGTACCAAGAGTGTTAACTATGGATCCAAGTAAGATGAAGTTGTTGAAAGTTTAAATCTCTTCTCCATCTACCATGATGTTGCCTATCAGTCCAGTGGTTTGTTTTCTTGACACTGAGATGCAATCCATACCAAAGGCGGCATTCCTTGATCTGCAACAGGTGCTTCAAGTCCTCCTGACTTTCAGCAAGCAAGTTTGTGCCATCTACATAACAGTTATTGATGAGGCTTCCTCCAATCCATTCCTCTTCAGAGCCCAGTTTCTGGAATAACTTGCTCAGCATACAGATTAAATAGGTATGGAGAGAAAAAATATTACTCTGACACACTCCCTTCTTAATTTTAAACCATGCAATGTTCCTCTGTTCTGTGTGCTTAACAGCCTCCTGGTCCAGGTATAGATTTTACATCACCACAATTAAGTGCTCTGGTACTCCCATTCTTCTTAATGTCAGCCACAACTTGATCTACACAGTCAAATGCCTCTGTATAGTCAATAAAGCATAAATAGACATTCTTCTGGTATTCTTTACTTTCAGCCAGGATCTGACATCAGCAATGATATCCCATTAATCTCAAGGTCAAGGTGTCGATGAGCACTTTCGGAAGCTTACTAACCTGGTTTATAACCTTTTGACTTTCCTCAACATGACTGTGTGGTCTGTAATATACCGCATTAGATTTTGGACCCAGTAAAGCACGAAGATTGTTTCTGAGATGAATAGAAAGAGGTATGGAAATGTGAGGGACATGTCTGACCTCATGGGAAATGGTTCTGTGTTATGGATAAAGGTAAGATATGGCCTGTCCCCAAATGGCCCTTTCTTTTTTTTACAATGTTAAAACTATTCTCTCTCCACCAGATGCTCTGCTGGAGAAAGAGGGGCAATCTCCTTCTGTACCAGTCAGATCCTATTTGACGGGACATACACACAAAATAATAATAATAAAATTTAAAAAACCACAACCTATTCTCTCAATGTCTATACTTATTTAAAGGTTTCCACAAGAAAACTTTTTAGATAAAAATACAAATTTTCTAAGGAAAAAGCTGTTAGCTATGAAATATACCAAAAAACTTTTTATACTCAAACACAGCTGTTTCTGGTTGAGTCTAAAATCTAATCATAAGCACTAGGTGGCACTCACGCCCATATTCCAGGTCTGCAGAAGGCCAAAACTTCAAAAGTTCAATTCCTAACCTCCAATGAAGCAAAGATTTGACCTTCATAATCTCACAAAATGGGTAAACCTTCTAGGAACATACATTTTTACAAGGACAAAACACAGATTAACCACCTAGATCCATCAGAATTTTTTTCCCCCTGGATCCTAAAACTGGGTTCATTAAAGCAATAGTTACCTGAAATTGGCACCAACGAGTCAAATTTCATAGGAAAAAACTAAGTGTGTTCAGTCCCCTGGAAAAGCTCAAGCTCACTGCTGTCAAGTCAGAACCAACTCACAGCTGACACTACATTGGGTTTTCAAGGCTTTAAATCATACAGGAAAAGCTTGGAAAAGAAATTGCACTACTAACCAGAAGGCACATGGTTCAAATCCACCAGTTGCTCTGTGAGAGATAAATGGACAATCTCCTCTGTAATTTACTGCCTTTGAAAACCTGTTGGAGGGTCAGCCATGGGTTGGTTCTGACTCAAGGGTACTTAACAACAACTAACATTCATAAAAGAGTCAGGGACCTCCAGTACCTCATATACTCATACCAAGTGAAAAGTATCTCTGTGTCATCTTGCAGTCTTCTGTCCCTACTTTATCATCTAAAACCTATCTCCAGCCTCAATCCTAAAATTCCTACTTTAAACAAAGTCACTAAAATAGTATTATCCACCCTTTTCATAGGAAAAAATGTAAATTGACATGGGATCTGGAAAAATTAGGGAGAAATTATATTTTAAACCATTTTGTGCTTCAGTATTATTAGATATCAATCTATGGTAAATCTTTTCCATTCTTTCCTTTAGATCATTTTCTATCTTTCTCAGCTCTGTTCTCTGTATCATGAAGCTAATCTGCACAAATTTTACAAACAGGCTCTCTTACCCTCTGGCATCCAGTTGAATTTCAGTCAACTGCGTAAGGGTGCATCCACAAGAGATTAGAGGGAGATCAAGTGATCATAAGCAACAGTTCCTGTCAGAAGGCTCTCAAATTGAGCCCCACTTATGCCTTCAGGACCAGTGCTAGCCCCAGCTCCATCCATTTTGGAGTTGCCATACTTTCACAAATAGTTCCATCATTAAATCCTTAATTTTCCAGTTTATATATACTATCTGGAAAAGTGTGGCTTCAGGTTTAGAGGTAGACTCATCAACAATCTGCATTATGCAGATGACACAACCCTGCTTGCTTAAACTGAGGAGGACCTGAAGTTCTTGCTGCAGAAGTTCAAGGACTGCAGCCTTCAATATGGATTGAAGCTCAACATCAAGAAAACAAAGATTCTCACCACTGGGACAATTGGCAGCATCAGTATGGATGGTGAAGAGATTGAGATAGTTAACAGTTTTAGTTTACTTGGCTCTACAATCAATGCTCTTGGTACCAGAAACCAGGACATTAAAAGAAAAATTGCACTGGCAATGTCTGCTGTCAGAGACCTCTCCAAAGTGCTGAGGAGCAACAATGTCAGCCTGGATACTAAGGTGCACCTGATCCAGGCCATGGTCTTTGCAATTATTTGCTATGCATCAAAGAGCTGGACAATGACTAGGGAAATAGAAGGAGAGTTGATGCCTTTGAGCTTTGGTGCTAGAGAAGAGTATTGAATATACCATGGACTGCTAGGAGAACAAACAGGATCGATCTAGAGAGGATGAACAAATAGGATCGACCTAGAGGGTGAAACCAGGCTGCTCCTTGGAGACAAGGATTCTGAAGCTTCGTACGACATACTCTGGACATGTTGCAAGGCAGAATCAGTCCTTGGAGAGGGATGTCATACTTGGGAGGGTGGAGAGATAGTGCAGGAGAGGAAGACCGTTGATGAGATGGACTGATTCAGTCACCAGGATAATGGAGATAGGTGTGTTGGAGACAATAAGATTGGCAAGGGATAGAGCAGGGTTTAGGGCTGTTGCACATAGGATCGCTATGAGTCACAAGCAACTTGACAGCACATAACAACAACATCTGATAATAAATCACTCAACTTATGGTCTCAGGCAAGGCAACCATGCTATTTAAATCATAATCTTAAAGGGTTTTTCATACCCGCCCAAGATGGCCAGGAAAGGTCGCTCTGGGTTCTCCAAGGCCTTGGCAAAGTAATCCAGCTCTTTCTTCATCAAGAAACCACCAGCCTTCTGTGGCAGATTCACTCCCACCATGGAACTATAAAAGACCAAAGACATTCTCAATCATTTTTCTCTAAAGACTATCCCCTTATCACTGAAATATTGACTTCTAAGACTATGGTTTTTCATTCCTAGTGTTATCATTGGGTGTTGTCTAGTCTATACCAATTCATAGTAAGCCACATAGTAAGTGACAGAAAAGAACACCACCAGAGTTTTCTTGGTTGTAATCTTTATAAAAACATAATCAGATACTTTTGCAAAATGACTATAGATATGAACAATCAACCTTCCAATTAAGAGCTAAGCACTTTCTGCAACAAAAGCACTTAGGTGCAAGATAGTAGAGGGTCAAGGGGAACAAATGAAAAGAAAAGATGTTAAGTAGACTTAAAAATCACTCTACAATCTTCAGCAGGAAAAGGATTACTCAGAATAAAGAACAGGAAAAGACTGCTCAATTCACTTACTACTGATAAAAGTTTTGGTCTCACAGAAAACAGGTGAACTCTACTATGAAATATCCAAAGAAGGAAAAAAATGTTAAACATTTGCTTTTTGATCAAGGAAACTCAGTAAGAGCCACAGTAGTAGCACCAATTAGATAGAAACTCAATGGGTTATGGTATAATACAGAAATCTCCAAAATCAACCCACAGTATAGGATACTGGAGCAAACAGGAATAGCGTTTTCATTAATCACTGGGCAAGAATACCTGTGGGCTCGGTGAGCAGTGCCAAAAGCATCATTTACATAGACATCCCCTAGTTTGGACAGTGAAGCCTGGAAGGCTTCTATTTCAGCTGGCTT